CTCCGGAACAACTGCAGTTAAGGCAAAACACCAGACCCTTCCCCGCCGTCCACCCAAATGACTGTAGGCTGGGGAATGGTCTGGGCGGCGAGACTACCTCTCCCCTGCACCACCACGACCCTGCTGCATCATCAACGCTGGTTGTTGTATTTATACTCGGTTTTTATAATAAATCAATGAATTATTAATACTGGGGCATAGCTCCAGTGTATATATATAGGGGTGACGCCCCTATTACCGGAGCTCTAGCTCTGCATACTGTGTCCGGTTACCGGAGCTCTAGACACTTCGTATTACTTATATAGTATAATAGTACAAAACAGAAATAAAAGGGCCAAATCCCCGGGAGTGTGAGGCCCTCCAAAAATTATTGGCATTATAAGCACACGTACACATATATACATAATCTACATTACTCAACTTTGCACACCTTTTTACTACCCTTTTTGTTTGAGCCATTGTGGGTTCTATCAGGACTCTCAAAGGTTCTGGCAGACTGTAAGGCGCCAGTCCACATCCTATAAGTAACTTGCTAGTTGCTATTAATTTTGAAAAAAGGATATAAACTGCAACAATGCAATTACTGCACTGATCCATAAAATAAATTATAGGTGTGGTCAGCACTCAGCAGATATCGAGATGAGATACCATGGCAACCATGGCACATGGGTAGGAGAAAGAAGAAAAGCTGAAATTTATTTTAGCATCTGAAGCTCTATTCAATAAAAGAGTTGGCACAAAAATTTTTCCTAAATATTTAAAAGAGACTGAGAGAGTTTGGTTGTTCCTGCTTTCCCTAGTGCCGCCTGAAAATTTTTCAAAGAGGCTAAATCACAAACTTTGAGCAACTGTAACTCACAAACAACGAAGTTAGGACAAAATCGTTCTTTTTTTCTTGTTAGATGGGATTTTTTACCTCTGAAGTGAAACACGAGCTCTCACTTGGAGAGAGGCACCCTGGTTTGGCAGTTCACAGCTTTTTGGTGCCACGGAATGCTACAAGAGCATAACTAGATGAAAGAAAGCAACTTTATCTGTTGCTAGAAGAAGAAATATAGCTCTAGACTGCTCAGACAAAAAGATAATTTTTTTACAAATCAATTAAACTGTGTGGACAGAATGACAGAACGAGTACACTATAGCACATGCCCTCGCCACAGTCAGTGAAGTGTAACACGACAAAAGTGAAACAGTAATGGTTTTTTCAAGAAAAATTGGAAAGAATGTTTAGCTACCTTGCTGAGCTGCTGCAGCAATTAAAGGTGTGGCTGGAATGAAGGGTGTGGCCATAGATAATAGAGTAAATGAATTACTCTATAGAGTAAATTTCATTTACTCTATTATTTATGGTGTGGCTCAGTTCAATCATAATATCATAGATATTATGATTGATAATATGCACATTATGATATTATGCATATTAATATTATGCATAATATGCATATTATGATAATATGCACCGCCCGGTTTAGTAAAATGGAGCCATGTGGCCTTGCTGTGGACAGAAAGCTTTAGTTTTTCTAGGCATGCACACAGTTTTACACAGATTTGTTAGGATCTACTTGTTTCATGCAATTCCTATATCCAGTTTCTTCAGTTTCAAGGCAGTAGCCACGTTCTAGTAGAAGAGAGAGACTAAAAGTGGGAAGAGAGAGAGAGAGACAGAGAAAGAGAGAGAGAGAGTGTGTGTGTGTGTGTGTGTGTGAGGACTGAGGAGAATAATAATCATTTAAATGTAAAAAAGAAGGCAGAGAGGAAGGAACATACAGGAGCAAAGATGAGAAGGAATGATAGGGAAGAAGATGGGAGAGTGCATGAGAATAGACCACCGTATAGCTGGAAATATTTGCTGGAATTTAATTTTGCTGTTTGCTGTTCATCATAAAAAAGCACAATTTAATTCCGCAAAGCATTATAAGTAATGGGTGTATCAACAGTACACGCCTACACCAGCAAAATTAAATTCCACAAACATTAAAATTAGTTAAGGTTACTTTTAAATGCGGGTACCATTAATTGCGAATTTTGCGTTAGGGTTAAAAATCGCAATTATTAATACTTGCAATTATTAATAATGACATCATGATGCCATATAACTATTAGTAATAATTACTTAATCGCAATTTTTAACACCAGCAAAATCTACCTTGTGCTAAAATCGCAAAATTTAGTACCCGCAATTAAAAGTCACTCTAAGGTATATGGGTACAAAATCGCAAAATATAATTCCCGCAAACTTTTCCAGCTATACAGTATATAATTCAGGGAGATTAAAGAAGGAGGCACAGTGAGAGAGACCATACATTAGGAGAGGGTATGGGTGCATGGATCATATGTATTGCATCTTAAAGAGGGGGAAGAAAGAGGCAAAGGTAGAGCATACAATGTACACGTTCACAAAGACATTATGCACTAGGGAAAGCAATTAAATGTTGCCAAGTGGCATGAACAGGATTTCCCACATTTTTTTGGCATAGTGCTCAGCATTTTGATGGTGAGTAACATCATGTACTATAGTAAAAGGTGTAATACATGTAGATGTATGTAAAAAATCACTGGAAGAAAATTTTCCTCTTTTATAATTTTTTTCTGATACATATAGCTATATGTTCTTATGTCGCATTGAAAGTTTGAGCTGATTTTGATCAAATTTAATTCTTTAATGAATTGTTCCCTTGGCTCCAAATGTCATGTACCGTAAATCCTTAAATAGAAGCCGCATTCAAATAAACGCTGGGGTAGCAATAGAATTAAACCATAGATTAGTTATGGTCCATAGTCAATCCAACAACACTTTAACAAACTGAGGTATGGTCACTGATCTATCTAGGCTGATCCTTTTAGGCAGTGGCTGATCATTAAAATTAAAATGAAAATTAATAATTTTAACAATATCATCCAAGATATCATCAAAACTAAAAATGCAATAATCTAATTAGCATAATGCTACTGCAGCCCCGGTATGTCAATTCATTAGGTTCCCCAAAGTAAAGAGTCTTTCAAAACGTACATGTAAATTTTGGGATTTTGCTTCACATCATTTACTGAAGAGTTGTTTCCCTCTCCTCACTGTACCAGATGACATCAAAAATTAACAGTGAAAACTTCACATAAACTTTGAGTAACAGCATGATGACAAGAAAGTAATCAGACATAAGTGATTGTAAGTCAAGGAGGAGTTTCCTGTCATATTTATACAATTACTAACAGTATACATTATAACAATTTTAGTGAAATAGATCTACATGTACATGTGCCTTCTTTTGCTGCACTATAGTGTTAGAAACAGTAGGAGCTTCTGCTATGAATAGATGCATGGTGTTGGCGCCTTACTGGCTTGTGTGGTAGTACCAGGTACTTCTGAAAGGAGACAAATATTACACACATGTACATGAAGTTGCAAGTAAAATTTATAATGGCCACCAATATATACCTTGTGCTTCCTGCTTTGAGTCAAGATGCTTGGTTGATCTATAATGGAAAGAAAACAGCATAATTAACTAACAGTTACACTTAAATAAGCTTATGAATCAATAGCTGATCAATTAGTAAGTTTATTTACAAGTTAGAGTTGATTGACTTGGAACTGACGTTGCTTGACCTTCAGTCTCTTGGATTGCCACTGTCTCTTGGGTTGCTACTGTATCTTGGGATGTCAGACTTGGCATTACTGTCTCAGTCTCCTTGCTTGGTCCTATTTTAAGTATATTGACTTTCAGTGGAAAAAGCATTGATTTCCTTACCTTTGCATCTCTGTTTGTACTTCTCAAAGAAGATAGGATATCGTATTTTATCTTCAATTTTAGAGACATCACCAGCTTCAATCACACCACGCTCCATCAGTAACAGTGTAAACTGAACTCTACTCATATTGGACACATTGTGGCTCTTGAGGTGAACCACAGAGGTACACACCTTAGCACTGCTGAAGTCTATATCACTCATTTTACCATAGTAATCAGCAACAGTCAGGCAGAGATCTATTTTAGGATAAGACGTGTTAATATCAAAGTTTGGTAACGAAAACGGCTTCAATTTCCTTGTATCTCCCCAATCAGATCTTTCCAGGACTCCAACAGTGATTGCAACAGCGAGAGGGTATTTCCCGAGTTCTTCCATCAAATCAGTGAAAAGCCTGATAAAGGACTTGTTAGCATCCAAAGCAGTTCCACGTAGCACAGTAACAACCATGCGATAACGCTCCACTTGATGGCTATTTAAACAGAGACCCAATGCATACACAACTTGAATAACGGCTGGCCTGAATTCCTTCAATTCCTTTAATTTCTCAGTTACTTTTGAGTCAATGTCTACGTCAAAACGCAGGTATGCTTTGAAGCTCTTAATTTCTTCATACCCCAGACCAGTCAGTATCTTGTCGACGTAACTTGCAGCAACTTGTGGAGACGTTTGTGATGCATGGGTGGAGTATAATTCTAAAAACCTTTTTGATAACGACCAATCAGGTTTTATATATGACTTCACACCAACAACTGCAAGTAATCTGGTGTAATTATCGACAATGTATTGAGGCACTGAATGGGATATACTGACCATAGCATGATATAACTGTTTACCTAAAAGTACCTTCATAATAACTCGAGACTAAATGTGTTAGTACATACCATATACTTTATTTTGGTCTGGCTCACTATCCTGTGGTACTTGTATGATATCTTGCGGACCATCTTCCTTGAAATAAGGATCACCTAATACTTCACTGGCACATGGTCTATTATTATTGATAAAATTAGAAAAAGGTAAAATAGTCACATGTACACGTACCTTGAATCTTTGTTATACTTAATCATATTTTTAATTAGAGCACGAGCTAAAGGCTTGTCATTTAATAACTGAAAGTCACAGGTAACGTAATTCTTCACATTTTGATGAATCCTGAAAACATTATCATGCCCTCTATTAAAAGGATGGTGTCCTTTTGTTATTAAATAGTAGGTTACACATCCCATTGAAAATATATCAGACTGGCGACTGAATTTCTGTAAATAAAATTATAAAATATATTTATATCATGTTGTTCAATAAACTAACACAACCACTAGGGTCATCAAGCAGTAGTTCCGGAGCCATCCATGTATCAGTTACTCTGCCTCTGTGCGTGGTTTTGGAATCACGAGAAGTTAATTTTGTAGATATTCCAAAATCGGCCAGGACTGCTTTAACTTCAGACGATGAGCCCTTTTGTAGCAAAAGAATGTTTCCTGGTTTAATGTCTCTATGGACTAAAAGTGTCAATACTTAGTAACACCAGTGTTTTAATGTAGCGTAACATACCAATCCACCTCTTATGTAAATATTCCAGTCCTTTCACTGCATCTCTTATGATGTTTTCCTTAACAACAATGAACCCAGAAAATCTATTTGCTACTTTCTTGTAGTTCACACAAAACTATATTTTACATGTGTTAAAAATACAATGATATTATGAGGTTAGCTAACTAAATCAAGTGAGGCCAGACAGAGTTCTAATACAATATATTGGTTTTCAAGACCATCTTCCTAATAATAGCAATAATCAATTTCAAAACTAACAACTCACAATAGCAAGAATCTTTACAATGTTCTCATGTTGTATTGTCAACAAAAGATTTATATCCTCAGAACTTAATGTCTTTTCATATAATCTCTTCACTGCTACCTCTTGACCATTATAAGTCCCTCTATATAAATGGAGGAGAAACTTGAACTAACATTAATGTAAGCTTGTGGTATTTCATTAAAGCTGCTTCAGCATAACGGTCTCCAAACCATTTGGAAACCTCAATCATATCATGAACTATTAACTAATCATTAACATCAAATAGGATTATTACGGCATGAATAGCTTAAATAGAATTGAATCCAAGGGCTCTGACACACCCTGGAATCCAGTACACTCTCGTTGGAATCCAATTGGATACAGTGAAATCCAAAACTTGGAATCCAAGGTTTAAAAGCAGTATCCTGGGTTATACGAGCATTTTTGTATACTAATTGGAATCCAACAGAAAAATAGCAATTGAATTTAGGAATCCAGGCATCCTTTGCAAAATTTGAGCCCGTAGGACCCCTCGGATAAATCACTAACCTGCGAACGGTACTGCTCTTTCCTTTCCCAAGCAATGAATCTTCACATACATCATACCAAAGACTTTTATTAACTATCAGGCCATAAATAATCAATATAACTAAGACCAAGAGTGGATAATTATTTAGGGAGAGTGTTTAACCTGCCTATATACTCTGATACACAGCGCGTATGTTTACATCCGTTTTTTGCAAGTATAGGGAGATAATCCCAGTAATCTTCAAAATTATGGGTGTAGTTAATAAAATGGCGCTTGAAGCATGCAGGCAACTTTAAGACTTATATCTCCACTCCGAGGATTATGTAGTGCGAGAAACAAGCAGGAGCAGACAGGAATATGTTCTTCTAATGGTTGGCTATTTCTTTTTTTGCAGCTTTTTGACTTGGAATGAATATAAGGACGCAAGAATGCCTACTTGGTGCTAAGCACCATGCTATGTAAACATACGCACTGTGGTATCACAGATTATAGGCACGTTAGACACTCTCCCTAAATAATTATCCACTCTTGCTAAGACAAATAATTATTATACAAACCTCTATTTATTGAAAATGAAGGATCAGGATCTACAGAACAACAATATACAAACAAATCACATCACAGAAGATAGAAAGTTTACTTACCTGTCATTATTGAGGTACTAGATGTAGACTTCTACCTCGACTTCTACAATCTTGTGTCTACACGTGAATGATCACGAGTATGGGAGGTGATTCATAAAAAGGCGGAGTTAGTTACGTCACGTGGTGCACGCGCACCCTATCCGGAAATGCTCCCCGGCTAAAGCATCCAGAAAAAAATGAAAACGTTCTTGGCTCACTCAGCCGCCATGTGTACGTGCATAAATATTAGAGTAAATGAAAGCTGATTTTTGTATTAAGCACATCATTGCAGTTTTTGGGACTTATGGTGTAAAACCTTGGAGTTTTCAGTTGAAAACCTTCGGTCCCACCCCCTCATTAAGCCGCATGCAGAATGTATGTTTAGCTGATTATCTCTGTAGTTGTTGATTCAAAATTAGTACTTTTATTTTTCAAAACAAGTAATCGTGCATGCCTACCTGCTGATACCAGACAACAGTTAAAATTGCACTGCTACCATACTTGAAAAAACTCATTGATCATTATGCAACTTATGTATTGCTACATCTCTGATCTTTGGAGTGGATCAAGTGAAAGGACCTTGCCTCATGAACTGCTTCATATTGCATGCCTTTGCTGCATATATAGTAGTAACAAATTATTTAAAAATATTTTTGGCAATTTAAATCAAAAAAATAACATACAAGAATACAACTGACAATGTATGGTACAACAATAATTCATTTGCACTTTTATGCTGCGTATTGCTTACTGAAAGTCATTTGCTGCACAGTGCCAAATATTTCATTTGGCACATCAATAATCACTGGTAAAATGTTCTAAAGCCATGCAAAGATTAAAATTTTGTTGTCAAAAAGAGTATTGACGCATTTTTAGAATATTTTGTGGAAATGCTGTTTAAAAGCAGGGACAAGCATGGTCTTAACTCTTCTTTACCTTTGTGGATTCATCACAACTTGAGACCTGAATGCCTATGAAGTATTTCAAGTCTTTTTTGACCAGAGCTCTTTGCCACGGCGTTTAATAGCGGTGTAGACTGTAGAGTAGACCACCATTTCCAGTTGATCAAATAGAGTTTTACAAAATGTATCTAACAAAGAGGGAATTTCATCTTGTATGTTATGCTATTTGTGTTTGAGCACTTGATTGCAGTTGCAAGTACACTTTGAGGCTTCATTTTTGTTATTATTTTCTCAGTACCTTGAAATTGTGTCACATCATGGCCCAAAATTACTTATCAATGTATGTACATGTACATATGTATTATGCAGTATGTGTGGTAATTGTTGCTCTTTCCTGTTTCATTTAGGTCACCTCCCCCTCCAAATCTACCAGGTAGTGGTGGGCGATATATCGATACAGTATCGATACTATTCGATATTTCTATGTATCGATACGGTATCAAATCGAAAATCATGAGATTGCAAAAACGATTCGATATACCACGCCCATTTATTAATAGTTATCACCAATTACCACGCCTATTTATTAATAGTTACGACTAATTAACTCAATATTTATTAAGTTTTTAGATAATAATAATCATTGGAGCCATTATTTCAGCTGCAAATCCTGCAATAGCTTTGTCAGGTCAGCGGCACTGCAAGCTTGAATTCTTGTGGGAGACTGGGAGTCTGGTAGAAGGTGCCTGTTTGTCTAGTAGTTCTACTGATTTAAGTATCATGGCTTCTAGTTCTCTACTGTTGGTGCAGAGTCACTATCCATGCTATCTCTAATGAGGGGGTGTGGCTTTGATATTGTATCGAAAACATATCGATATGTGTCGATATTGCATGTTTTAGCATAGCTATGGTTTTAGTCTCGCGTGGCCAGACTAATTGCATGTGTATCGAATCGTTATCGAATCGATCTGAAATTTTGAGTATCGCCCACCACTACTACCAGGTGGAGAAGCCCATAAATTAGCATTT